TTCTTTTGCCATTCACAAATCTGTAGAGCAGTTTGGTGTTACTCGTAAATTTCCGCACCATATTCTCCTGCCATTCGTACTTATCGACTCTAATGAGTGACGTGCAGTAGTTTCTGATGACTTTGTAATCCTGCCATGTGATATCATATGGGCTTAGCAAATGTTGCCTCCAGATTTCATCTCTTCTGATGATCCATTTACGTGTTCTACTCCGGATCCACTATTGGTCCGGCGCGATGTTCGTAATGGTACAACCTTCGATGCTAATTGTATGACCCAGTTAATTTTGTCTTTCAATTCATTCCACGCGTCATTTGCTGAGCTGTGCGTCTGTACGTCCCAGTCAACGGTTGCTGCTAAGCCGCGCAGCTTATAATAGTCCGTAATAGTGCGTTGAGTCTCTCTTTCTTTAGCAACAATACTGGCATAACATACATAACCGAATGTTAGGACTGAATGGTCGCTACGGCCCAGTGGAAGATCGTATGCTACTGACTCAACCATCAACTCTTCATTAGCCAGGATTAAGTCCAAGAGTGATGGCTTGTTTGAACCGCGATGTCTGGTTGGTCGATGCACATGGTTATACAAAACTGCCATATCCATGAATTCGAGGAGTTTCGATTTAAATGATGGCCCATTAGGGGACACTGATACTATTGAAGGAACATTACAGTCACCCATTATAAGATAGTGAGAGTACTTTTGTGAAACATCATAGCAGAGGGCGTTTAACAGAATGTTATCGCTGTCTGCTGATGAGTTCGGAGGTCTATAAATAACTGCTAAGAGGCAAGCATCACTCTTCTTCTGTGAACCAACATCTGGACCTGCTAGGTGCAGTCGGCAAAATAGTGAAATGTTTGTTTGGGTGCGCAATAGGTTCTGTTTCCGGCAAGCTGTTCTGAGCAATGTCCTACAGGGATCAGCCTACTATCTGCTGCTGTGTATGTTAACGAACTACCGGAAGTGTTGCGGGTGCCTAACCGCATGTTCGCTGACATGTGGAAGTTCTAGTGTACGGTGAGCAATTCTGGTGGCTTCCAAGTCTTGCAACAAAATCTTGACAGGCAACTGATTGGTCCGTACTGTGGCAGATGCAACTAAGCTATATAAATTGTTCAGTTATGCATGTAGGATCAAATGACCCGACGACGCACTGCACAGTTGGCGAGAACGAATTACTTCGCGTACCAATAAGTTGACTTTGGTGTCAGGTTAGCTCCAGACTTTAAGTCCAGCAATAACTGGAAAGAAGCGGCTAACTAGGGGTTCCGAACACTCTGCTCGTAACGGATCTGTACGCTATCGGGCGCGTCCCCAAGTTGCGAATCGGGGAATGACTTCCTTGTGGAGATAACTGCAAATAAGTCACTTTTGCCTTACAGTTGAGATGAATAAGCAGTCGCGAACGATTAGCTGTAACGTCTCAGAGCGTAGGGAGTTCTGAGCTGGTTCACCATTAAATAACACAAGTGCTCGTACGGCGCTGTGGCAAAGCCAATGGGACCGGCTAAATGATCCTTGACCACTCATTCCTGTAACTGGGAGTGAGTATATAACGGAGAGCGAATGCACAACCTCGTCGAACACCGGCATCTCTGTGGACTGCTTCCGAACACAAAGAAGAGGAATGAGTAATCTGGCTGTCAACGATCTTCGTGAATCAACTTGCTGCCTTGCACTCGGGTCTTTAGATCAAAGGTTCGGGGTGGAACTACATAAATCCACCATATTCCTTGGCCTGGGCAACCGGGAAGCTAAATGCCCACACAGCACAAGGAACTTTTCATCCATACAGCTGACTACCAATTCCTTCTTTTCTATTGTTAATCATGCGCTGTAGCACACTGCCAAATGTTTATTGGGCAATTGGTTTATATATATATATATATATATATATCTATAATATCCGAACACTAGATGCTTTATAGAGGAAAACACTCTCTTTCAGTATTTCGTAACACGGGGTTTTACGGTTGTTTTAACCTTAAAATGTCCACTTGTTTGACTGACGGAACATAGGTTGAAACAAATGGTTCTAAAGTACATCGTCGCACCCGCAGTCCACTTGGTATATTTCCTGCCACGGACTCTAGGTTCTCGCATGTTCACTTAGATCTGGTAGGTCACTTGTCTCCTTCACGCGGATTCGTATACATCCTTACATGTGTCAACCGCTTCACCAGATGGCCAGAAGCCATTCCCGTAACAGACTGCACAACTGAGACTGTTATCCGGGCCTTTTTAGACCGGTGGGTCTCGCATTACTGATGCCCTTACACCATTACAACTGACCGAGGAACGCCTTTCGAATGTTCACAATGCGATACGTTCTGCAACTTCTTAGGCTGTCGTTGCATTCATACCACAGCCTTTCATCCCGCAACCAACGGGTTAGTTGAACGCTTATACCGGCAGCTAAAAGTCTCGCTCCGCGCCTCCTCCGACCCTAGCTGGAGTCAAAACGTTTCGCTCGTACTCTTAGGCACTCGCAGTAGCATCAAAGCTGACTTGCAATGTGCACTAGCAGAGCTGGTTCACAACACAACGCTCAAGTTGCCAGGAGAATTCGTTTCACCTCCCGCATCATCGGGCATGCCTCCGTCTAACTTTGTGTCCTCCCTAGCTCAACGCATGCGGATCTGATATTGGTTTGCGAGACCGCGAATAAGGACTGAATAACCGCACTGAAGATGTTGCCTAGTTTGGTAACGAAACGTCTGCAACCGAAATGCCCGGATCGGAGAACAGGACAATCCTCTTATCAACGCATGTGTTCACTACCTTCGACTCCGTCTCGTGAGCAGACTAGAGATGTGCAAATTCACAGCGGACTCTCTACCTGCACTCACATCTTTCTCCGAACCGAGGCAGTGCGGCGCCCTCTCCAGCCTCACTACACTGACCCTTTCAGGATCCTGCAACCGACTCAGAAACATTTTAGTTTCGACTAGAGTGGTCACGGAACAACGGTGTCCATCAAAGTGGCTTTCGTTGACGAACTACTTGCAATCCATTCTGATGCCATCACAAAACACCTGCACCTGCGTTGACTTCCCGAGCACTGGATATCGCGAAACCATCTGTTCCCCTTGACCAGCAACCTACCCCATCTTAACCCCAGGCAACAGACCGAAGCGGTAGACAGGTCAAACGTCCGGTCCGTTTTTCAGAATTTTTAAACGTTTGCTATTTACATTAACACGCGTATAGCGTCTTTAGTCGCAATTGTGCGTCTCGTCCACATAGCTTCTGAAAACACGACAGAAACCAAAACAATTTGAAATCTTAAAAGTGTATTTGCTTTTATCATGCATGCCATGTACCCTCTCTGGCGTCAAGCCACTTCCCCGACGCTTGCCCAACCCCTCTGAGTTCCACCTTCCAGAAACTCAACCGCCGGAACTGCCAAGGCAAGCCTCGAGTGACGCGACAATCAGCTTTACGCAAGCCCCGCTTGCCCCGCCAGCCGAACCAGTCTCTTTCCTCGCAAAATGAACAGTCAGTCGCCCTCGGTCGCAGACAGCCACGACAAATCGGTCCAAAAAAGGCTTGGCTAGGTGTTGCGGAGGAGAACGCCGGGTATCTTCGTGGGACGAGGACGTCCGCATTCATTCGTGGAAGGACCGTGGACTGGAGTGCGGTTGGGGATGTGACATCTCCCAAGCGCACCCTCGAACCTGCACCGAAGGGAATGTCCTGTCAGCGTTTTCTCTGGACTAGCCAGTAATTTGCAGTCCGACCAGGCCGCATTGGCGGCCCACCGAGGATGCACTCTGGTCCAAACGATCATCATAAACTATTAATTAAAAAAGCCTGGACCCAGCGAACTCTCTTATACGGCCCACCTAGGAAGCCCTTGTTCAAGGCCATGCAGTTTTCCACCACTAACAGCTCCATCGAAGGCTTCCATATTTCAGCCTTCTAGGAGAGGTCCTTATACACTACAAGCGCCTCCACCAGAAAACACGCTTTTTCCATGTTTTGCAACATGGAATTTTGCGGTTTTTTAACCTTCAAAACGTCCGCTTGTTTGATTGTCCGCACATCCGTTGCCACCAATGGTTTTGGTGAATACCATGCTGCACCGTTTCTCGCTCTGCTTGATTCGCTTCCTACTTTTGTAGCCTGCACAATACACGTTGGGTTCAGTCGCCCCCAACTTCTATACTGTCCCGTATTTGACGTCTGTTATGTGTCATTGATTTCCGACTATCCTAGGCTCCACGCAACAAGGTCAGCTGGCTGTTGACAAAAGCAATGTTCATAAATATTTTTACAACCCAGCTTGGATCGAAACTGAAGTACTGCGTCCGGGCTTGTGCTCCACTTAAGGACTCGTGACAAGATGGCAGTAGAGCGGGTCATAAGGATTGGCTTAAAAATGCTCGGAGGACAGCCCAACCTGTTCTATCTTGACAGATGGCTCAAGCTAAGAATGTTCTCACCATAATGTCGCCGTATTCGAGGCAATTTACCTCTCATTTATAGCATACTAACAGAGTTGATCGGCCCAGACCTAGCCTGGCCTATTCGTCCCGCTCAGTTACCTAATCACTTCGGGTATCCGATGTTTCACAATGTTCCGTGTGATCGGATTCTTGCTGACGCTCATTTGCGCGTAGAGTAATAGTGTGAGGTCGCATTGCACATGCACTTTTAATTCCGTTACACTATCTTCGGAACGGAAGATTTCATCACCACGTGCACGTGTACTTAAATCCGAGGTCAACCTAATAAAACTACTAGTTTTATCGAGATTGCCTTGGATACCACATCCTCACATCGTGTAATTGAGTCGCGTGACCTACATCACGACCGAGGTCAACATAACAAAACTGTTTCATTCTTATCGAGATTGTCTCGGATACCACATTCTCACATTGCGTACTTCTCTTCCCCTTGACCTACATTCACACATCGTACTACTTACGGCCCACCTGTTTGAACGCCTGAATGAAGCATTATATAAACCGTATAGTACATCGACAACGACACCCCCGACCGACTACAACGAACGTCACACGACCGTCCCGACTGGTGCTTTGACAACCGTCACAAAAAGCGCTACGCCCACGACGACAAGACAATCCTCACACGACCGGACTGGCCGCGACCTACAATTTCCCCACGAACAGGATTTGTGCTGTGAGATAAGTCACCACTTTCTCATTACCTTATTTTTGAGTAACACTATTAAATTCTATTTAGTACATTGTATTCTTAGGGCCGGCCTCTCCTTTTTTATATCTTTACTGTACTGATACATAACGAACACGCCTCAATACTTATACTCCATTTTTGTTAGTGCACACCTTCTGATATTTTCAATCCGCCAACTAGTCGTAGTAATCTACTAAGCCACTAACAATTGGTGACCCCGACGTAAGCAAGTAGGCAGAAACCAACTGCAGTAAACTATCGTGTGTTAGGCAATTTCTCTAATACGTCCAAACGGCAGCATCACTCGAACTCATATAAGATGGATGACAATAACGAACCTCAAACCAACGTAGTGTCTCTTCACTTACCACCTTTTTGGCACAGCGATCCGGCCATTTGGTTTACGCAAGTTCAAGCACAATTTGCCCTCCGCAGAATTACACAGGAGATGACAATGTTCTATCATGTGCTTGCCGCATTACCATCAGAAGTAGTTGCCGATGTTCGAGATATTTTGTTATCTCCCGACCCCATCACTCCATTCCAACAGCTCCGCGATGCTCTAATCCGTCGTACCTCAATTTCAGAACACAAAAGGCTAGAACAACTTCTAGCAGATGAAGCACTGGGAGACCTGACACCATCGCAACTCCTGCGCCGTTTGATTTGCGTTAAGGGAGAACGAAAGATAGACACTGGTCTATTCACTCAAATATTTTTAAAACGGCTACCTCAACATGTCCAAGCCATTCTAGCCCCATCCGTAATGGAAGTTCCAATTGATAAGTTGGCAATGATGGCGGACCGTATACTGGATGTCCAACCGCAGGTCAACTCGCTAGACCACCATACCCCCGGCCCATCAAATAACGATTTATCAGATCGGATAACACGATTGTCACAACAGCTAAATGAGATGAGCATCTCTAGGGCACCTCATTTCAGACGTCGATTGCGATCTCCTTCCCGCAACTCCAAATGCCGTAATTTCCCCCGATCTCCTTCACGTTTTTACTCACATAGTTCTTCGTCTAGTCAGGCATCGAACCCCGCATTTTGTTGGTACCATCAGACATTTGGACCAGAGGCGAAGAAATGTAGACACCCCTGCACATTTAAGTCACAACTAAGAGTGGATTTTAAGGCTCCGGGAAACGAATAGGGCGGATCTGTGAGGCGACCATGATCTGCCCGACACATACCAATCGCCGACTGATCATACAGGACCGGACATCCGGACTACATTTCTTGATCGACACGGGAGCGGACATCAGTGTCATACCCCCCTCTCAAGGCCAGCATGCCCTCAAACAGAGCTCACTACGACTGACTGCAGCTAATGGTACATGTATTTCCACTTTTGGACAACGCTCCTTAACTCTGAACCTTGGTTTACGTCGCTCTTTCACATGGGTATTCATCGTAGCGGATGTCAAACAGCCCTTACTTGGTGCCGATTTTTTGACCCATTTTAAATTGTTAGTCGATCTTAACAATCGTTGTCTCCGAGATTTGACGACCCGATTACCTGTTACTGGTCAGACTACTACAAGTCCATCATTCACACCAAGCCTTTTTGCCGCGAATATGTTTGATTCTTCATTCTCCGCAATTTTACGTGATTTTCCCGCTCTCCTAAAACCGAAGTTCCATCAGACGGAGATTAAACACGACGTAACCCATCGCATAGTAACCCAAGGTAATCCAGTGTACGCTCGCCCACGTCGAATGAATCCTGATAGGATGAAAATAGCTAAGGCTGAGTTCCAACACATGCTTCAATTAGGAATAATACGTCCCTCACAAAGCACTTGGTCATCACCTCTACACATGGTACCGAAATCAGATCCAAATGACTGGCGACCCTGTGGCGACTACAGAGCTCTAAACAATGTTACAGAGCCTGACAGATACCCCATCCCACATATACAGGATTTCACATCGAACATTGCTGGTAGCACAATCTTCTCGCACATCGATATATTCAGAGCATACCACCATATTCCGGTGCATCCTGACGATATACATAAGACCGCAGTTACTACTCCGTTCGGTATGTTCGAATTTTTACGTATGCCTTTTGGATTGCGTAACGCTGCGCAAACTTTTCAACGGTTTATTGATCAAGTCTTACATGGTCTACCTTTTGTTTTCGCGTACTTGGACGATATTTTAATAGCCAGTAAGACACCAGAAGAGCACAAACAACATTTGCGTACGTTATTTCAGCGTCTAGACAAATTTGGTATCACCATCAACCTACGAAAGAGCACCCTAGGAGTTCCGTCATTAGATTACCTAGGTCACCGAATCGATAGCACTGGCCTGACACCAACAGATCACAACTCGTTATCGCTCACAACGTATCCTCCCCCGACATCCTTCCGCCAACTCAAGAGGTTTCTGGGAATGATTAATTATTACCGACGTTTCATCCCGCATGCAGCCGAGATTTTAGCTCCTCTAACAAATCTCTTGGTTGGACCTCAGAAACATTTTGAAATGTCCGATGCCGCTACGCAAGCTTTCACGCAAATAAAAAGCGTTCTTAAAAATCAATTGAATCTGTTTCATATCCGTCCGGACGCAACGTTGTCTCTTCACACCGACGCTTCTAATACAGCCGTCGGAGCAGTCCTGAATCAACACGTTAATAATCAACTGCAACCCATTGGCTTCTTCTCAAAAAGATTGACGACGACGGAAACACACTATAGCACCTTTGGCCGGGAACTTTTAGCCATTTATCTAGCTATTAAGCACTTTCGACATCTTCTCGAAGGCCGTGAATTTTGTGTTTTTACTGACCACAAGCCGTTAGTCTCCGCCTTCCTTGCTAAGCCCGACCGCTATTCACCTCGTGAGATTCGTCATCTCGATTACATCTCACAGTTCACATGCGACATTAGACACATAACTGGTGCTAGTAATATTGTAGCGGATAACTTGTCCCGACCGGCTGTCGACGAGATCACCGGTATATCCTCCATCGATTTCCAACGCATGGCACGACTGCAGAAAGCTATGCCACTACCGACGCATACGGATAAGCAATCCTCATCGTTGAAGATACGACCATTTCCGATACCTTCGGCACCAGGTACTATTGACTGTGATATGGCGACAAATAACCCCAGACCATGGGTACCCGAACCTATGCGTAGAGAAATATTTAACGCCCTTCATAACGTTTCTCACCCTGGAATCCGCGCGACCCTTCGTTTAATAGCGCAACGTTTTGTTTGGCCGAATATGAACGTGGACATACGCAAATGGGCTAAACATTGCATACCGTGTCAACGTTCTAAGGTCGTTCGGCATACGCACTCTGATACTGGTACTTTCGCACAACCAGATCGCAGATTCGACCATATTCATATTGATATAGTTGGTCCACTACCCCATTCTAACGGGAATTCATACATTCTGACTTGTATAGACCGTTTCACTCGATGGCCTGAAGCCATTCCTATTGCAGACACATCGACAGAAACTATTGCTCGCGCACTGATTACCAGATGGATTGCCATTTTCGGTGTTCCTTCCTACATAACCACTGATCGAGGTTCCCAATTCGAGTCACACCTTTTTCAGCAACTGACCGAACTACTCGGTTGCAAACGTATACGTACAACGGCCTATCACCCACAAGCGAACGGTTTAGTCGAACGTTTTCATCGACACTTAAAAACCGCTTTCAAAGCAAACGGTGATTCAGCTAGATGGACAGAACAACTCCCACTCATCCTACTTCACATACGCACGATGTTTCGTACAACACTGAACTGTTCACCGGCTGAGTTGGTCTTTGGCACAACATTACGTATACCCGGCCAATTTTTCACGCCTGACACAGCAGTACTCAGTGACCCTCCAACGTATGTGGCTCGTCTGAAAACGCACATGAGCAAACTACAATACTGCGCATCCACTTTCACAACAAAACTACCCCACATTCCTCCAGAACTTTCGACCTGTACCCATGTTTTCATTCGCACTGACAGGTTAAAACAACCTTTACAACCTCCTTATGAGGGCCCATTTCCGGTACTTTCACGCCAAGAGAAATACTTCACCATTCTATGGCGTGGCAAACCTGATACTATCAGCATAGATCGTTTGAAACCGGCGTATACGGATTCAGTGGAGACATACCACACGGACAACGATCCAACACGCACTGACAAGGCCAAGACGCTGACGATCGACAATACACGACCACCCACAATTCCGGGACGAAATCAAGAACGCACCACGCGATCTGGAAGACAGGTACATTGGCCTGACCGTTTTGTTGCAGGCTGACACAACTCAGGCCCCGATGCATACCCTTTTTCAAGGAGGAGGGTATTGTGAGGTCGCATTGCACATGCACTTTTAATTCCGTTACACTATCTTCGGAACGGAAGATTTCATCACCACGTGCACGTGTACTTAAATCCGAGGTCAACCTAATAAAACTACTAGTTTTATCGAGATTGCCTTGGATACCACATCCTCACATCGTGTAATTGAGTCGCGTGACCTACATCACGACCGAGGTCAACATAACAAAACTGTTTCATTCTTATCGAGATTGTCTCGGATACCACATTCTCACCTTGCGTACTTCTCTTCCCCTTGACCTACATTCACACATCGTACTACGTACGGCCCACCTGTTTGAACGCCTGAATGAAGCATTATATAAACCGCATAGTACATCGACAACGATCCCCCGACCGACTACAACGAACGTCACACGACCGTCCCGACTGGTGCTTTGACAACCGTCACAAAAAGCGCTACGCCCACGACGACAAGACAATCCTCACACGACCGGACTGGCCGCGACCTACAATTTCCCCACGAACAGGATTTGTGCTGTGAGATAAGTCACCACTTTCTCATTACCTTATTTTTGAGTAACACTATTAAATTCTATTTAGTACATTGTATTCTTAGGGCCGGCCTCTCCTTTTTTATATCTTTACTGTACTGATACATAACGAACACGCCTCAATACTTATACTCCATTTTTGTTAGTGCACACCTTCTGATATTTTCAATCCGCCAACTAGTCGTAGTAATCTACTAAGCCACTAACAAGAGCAACCTGGAATGCGCTACCAGAGGAGGTCATATTGTCGTCTACAGTGACGGTTGAAACGTCGTCTTGATGCCCTCATGTTGAAGCTCCAAATCTTCCCATTATCACCATAAGCGTTTCTTTGATTGCCTTTAAGTCGTATTAAATTCCTCTACAAATTTGTTATATTCTCACTCTTTATACCCAGACTACCACGATTACCATTTTACTCTTTCTTATCGTAATACACGTGACCAGGGCGGCGGGGATTACTCGCAGATCGCGTGGGTTTTGTTTGGTTGACCACGAGGTGTTCTGCACGTGCTGAATTGGCTCATACAACTGGTTAAGCATGCGCCGATTTCGAAGTTAGATGGGAATCTTTTGTTCATATCCCATTAGAATTTGAATTTATGAATTTGAAAATGCGGTTAGTTAACATATTACTCGAATGCATATCAGATGCCAAACAATTTAAATCGAAAAGATTGTATTAGAAAACATTTCTTCTGCTAGGGCACCCACTGGATTAAGTACCTGTTTTAGGTTTGGCACCACATTCAGTTCTTTCTGAACAAGCGCTATCTCTTCAACTTTTGGAGCGTTTTGTACACACCTCGCAAGTGACTGCAACACTTATGAATTCGTAATGCACACTTACCAAATTTTCCAAAGATTCCACTCCTTTTCTGTTAAGTATGTTAAGAATTGGCACTTACGCATCTATATCAGTTACCACGGTTCAGCGTACCAACAGAGCAGAGTAAGGGAAAAGTTGGATGCGATGGCGCGATATTAACAGTACGAAAGCCAAATAATAAAAAAGAAAACAGCCTACCAATTAGTATTTCTTCAGTTCCATTTTATCAAACCTGGAAACTAGTAGCAAGTAAATGTCAACACATTTCCCTTAACGACCAATAATTTATAGGAAAGAAACAATAATTCTGTTTTTACCTGCGTATTTCTACCAAATATTTTTGACTACTTTTACTGGGTTTTAATTTTTGCAGTTGCTAAATCCCACCAAGCCCTGCTGTTTTGTAACCAGACCCATTCCCCCCTGTTAGAACCATGAAGCCTTCGATGCTGTTGCAGCTAAATCAAAATTTTGCATAGTTACATGTTTTATTCCGCTACATCAAAGCAGTCAAATAAATACCAATCATAGCTTTGGGTAGATACAAAAGCTTTTCCGTTGGATTCATTATACGTGCTTTATGATGTTTTGCTTCTGTTTCGTTTATTTACCGGTGCACTGATCGATAATGACAACGGCATTATTCCTCCTTAATTAAAAAACATTACGCATAGTGCTAGCAAGTTAAATAGTTAAAAAATCAAAATACAGTGTTGTTCATGCAACTGCACGCGCGCATCATTTCATTCGCTCCCTGACGACTTACATGCACGCACTATCAATAACAATCTTATTGGTCATGGGACATCAGCCAATAGGAATTCCTGGATGTACGCACAGGACTAGATGTACGCGTCCATGGGAGACAGGTATGCTCTCGAGTAAGTTGACACATATGTGTTAACGGAAGGCAGACAGGGATGAGTGTCAGTGCTAGAGGTTAACAACAGTACGCCTGACTGTAGCTGCTCAACCTAGGATGAGGTGTTTGAACGCTCTCCGTCAGCACCCCTTTAACAGATCTTTTGTCGGAAAGAGTTACCATTGCTTCGTATCCTGACCCGGCCGGTAGCCGGTGTCCCTGTGCTAAATTTCCAACGCTTGTCCGAGCAGTCCGTAACGTTTCGAGCGCACAATATGTGATCGGTCCAAATGGAGCAGTACGAGTGGCAGATTTGAGCTCCAGGTTGCATTGCCTCTGGTCGACACAATATGGCGCATGAACCTAATAATAATAGTAATTGACATAAAACTCAGCAAGTGAAGAGCTGTGACAATATTTGGCACAGAACATACATGCACAGGTGATGTCTTGCTCTTGCAAGAGCAATAGCAATTATCTTCTTCTATTTTTCTGCATTCCTGGCAAGTTAGTTGCCGCATACATTTGTCTTACGCGATGGTAGGAGGCAAAGTTGCGGTTTGAGTATGTTGTAGACATTGAGGACTAATTATATTGGGTGAAGTGGTGGTCTTACACCTCTTACAATTTATACGGGCTTTCACTGAATGGATGGTCCACTGAGCTTCCTTACGAAAATCCGACATAATGGTGTCCAGGTAGATGTAGCTTCCCAACTTACTGCGAAAGGATTGTACAGTCTCGTAAAACCTGCTGGTGAATGGCAGCCGATTCCACAGAGAAGCATAGATGGTGAGACGACGGTTAAACCGCAAATTTTTCCTTCATCGTTGTATAACTGGGTAATGTGTTTGTGACCCAGGTCTCGCTTGCAATTGTGCTTCACAGTTAAGGTAAATTGATTTTTACAGGTATTGGCATTAATCAGATTGTGCAACAGTCTCATGTTAGCTTTTAGCCTTCGCGGTTAAAGCGCATAGGGATGGAGTTGTTGTCGTCTCTCCCGATAGTTTATGATGGAAGTTTTTCCCAATACATGCTTAGTAAATAACGGTTGAAGGATTGCTATAGATATTCTGTCTCATTTCCTCCTATTGCCACAGATTATGCTGCGATAACCCATTATAGATGGATCAAGAAATGTAAATAGTTCGACCGTTGCTGTGATTGTTTGCATGTTATGAGAGATGTCAGCAAAAAATTGCCTGGTTCGTGCTATCTTGTATTCAATCTGTTCCAAGAACATGAAGGTTTTAGCGATTAGCCTGTACCAGGAGCCCGGAGGGCGATTCGAAAATGCAGATTGCTTTGCATGGAACTTTTTATTGGTACAGTAAAAGATTCGATGTTACCTAGCTATACAAAGGCGACATCATTCACGCTCTAGCTAGGGAGTGAAGCATTCACAGCACACAGGTCAGTCGCGAGTTGCAACCGAAACGAGCGCCAAGGAAAATGGCGACGAGCGAGTCAAGCATTCGAACTCAGCAATCAGTTCAACAAACCACACCGGTTGCCTAGGTGTACAATTAAAGAATTTTAGTTAGAATTTTACACAAGCAAACCGGGGAATCTCCAGAATGCTACATAGTCCTCTCTCAGAAGGGACTGGGTAAGCAGTCCTTCGATCTACGTGAGGACTGTCCGTCGCGGGCCAGCCTTCGGCGAGACCAGGTTGTGAAACCTGATGCAGCTGCTGGGGGATATCCAGGCAGTCGAACCCTAGCGGGCTCCCACCCGTGTCCTCCCTACGGTGTCGAAACGGTAAAAAACTGTTTGTGGGGGACAGTTCGTAAAGTTCACATAGGTGCTTGAGCAGGAAGCTCATTCTACTTCCAGTTGACGTGCGAGGATCCGGCGAAAAGTGCAACCGAGGTGCAACCAACCGACGGTGTATATGGAAAGCAAAATGAAAAAGCAGCATAAATGCATAGCCATACACAAAAGAGTGCAAAGCGAAAAACGTGCAAAGCTGTTTTTGGGTTTTCAAAACTTTTGCTCCTTTTGGTAATTTCAAAACGTTTTAGTCCTTTTTGTGGACTTTGGAAAACGTTTGATAAGCTCAAAAATACCTCAGAGGCACTTTCTACGTAAAATAGTAAGTGCTGACAAAGTCCGAAACACGAACTGGAGGTTCGAGCTTCCTACTGCGTCGATTAATAGTAGGTCGAGTAGGAGCGCTGCCGGTCGAGGTTGCCGGTTCTGCTGGAGCGAACTGACTCGTCTGAGGTTGCGTTGCGAGTTGTGATGGCGCTGGCTGTGAAGGTGCTTGTTGCACCTAAGAGTCAGTCATGTCGAGGAATGCGGACTTGAGTCGATCGACATTGGTGGTCTCAGTCTCACCATTGTACTCACTGGTAAACGTCTTGTCGCTTATACGTACGACACTGTAGGTGCCAGAATAAGGAGGCTGGAGTGACTGGCGTACTGTGTCAGTGCTAACTAAGACGTGCGTGTAAGTAGTTAAGCGTCCGTCCACGTTGTGAACCAAGCTGTGTGCATTTGTTTGAACATGCTGAAGCTGTCACATGTGATGAGAGAGGCGAGCTGCGTAGACGCCATAGTTCAAGAGTGTTGGCGCTTTTGGTGAGCCAAGTTCACCAGATACGCGTTGTGTGCATTCAAAGACTAGGGAAGATGGACTGGCGTGCAACGCCGCTTTAATTGTGTTTCTTATACCTAAGAGGATGAGTGGAAGTGCTTCATGCCAGGATTTGGTAGATTGGGCACAGTGATGCTTTGAGTTTCCGGTGAAACCGTTCTACCACCCCATTAGCTGTGGGGCAATATGCAATGGTTCGGTAGTATTGGCAACCAAGAACGTTGCGAATTTTGCTGAAGGATCCGTCAAAGTGTGATCCTCAGTCGGTTGTGACTAAGCTTTTGCAACTAAACTGAGCTACCAGCGTTCTAAGAAGGCCATTGAAACTGTCTCAGAGGAGCATTTGGCTATCGAAATCGCTTCTGGCCATAGGGTGCATCGGTCGACACAGTTGAGGAGGTACACGTAGGTATGCATGGGGCAATGGTCCGACCAGCTCGACATGGACGTGTGCAAATCGAGAGTCAGGAGCGAGAAAGACGCCAAGTAGACTTTGGTACTCTGTATACCTTGGCGCGCTGACACTGTAAGCATGCGCGTGCCTAAATGCGGCTATCGCGTTTGACGTTGGGCCAAATGAAGCGATCGGTTACTAGCTTCTGCGAAGACGTATGCCAGGATGAGACAGGTTGTGTAGAGCGTTGAAAACTAGTCGACGCATCGAAGTAGGAACTACGGGTCAGGGAGAAGTTT